ATCTATGTACAAACCATGGTAACACCAATTTTAATTATTAGTCGTCTAAGAAGTCTAACACAAATTCTAACACAAATTCTTAAAACATACTCAAAAAGCCTGGACGACTTTGTAGACGACTTATCCGTAAGTCTTCTACATCCAGAAGACTTACGGGTAAGTCTTACGCGAAGAGATCTGGAAAAAATTCAATTTCAAACCTTAAACTAGGTGAGATGACTTGCTTTGCACACAGAGTCTTCTCCAACCACCCAGAACATCGAACGAAAGTAACCCACCAACAATTGTATGCTTAAATGGCTCTATCAACCATAAAAATTTTGCTATCAAAAGCTTGGGTTTTTGGTATGAATATGGAGACAAAGTGAAGGAGATGTTGTTTTTAGTTCATAACAATTGAGAAAGAGAGTATGAGTATCGATTTTAAGTGTATTAAAAGCTTTAAACCTTGGTTGTACAAGGTTGTTGGGTTGTACAAGGTTGTTGGGAGTATTCATGGCAATGACAATGTTGTAAATACTTGAAGATGATGAGGTTGAGAGAGTAAAAAGGCCATTTTCGAAAAAAAGTAAAAAAAAAAATTTAATGGCATTTTCGTAAATAAAATGAAGATGTGGGGTGGATAGGACAAAAACAAGATGAGTTAAAAGAAGAATTTAGTTTTGTGTTTGACTATGATTTTTGAGTCAATTTTGCAAAAACCCCTTTTATGAAGTTGCGGTTTTTTTCATCGTTTTTCCGGTTTGTGTTGGTGTTTCCATTTTTAAGAAAAATTTATTTTAGTTTTTCTTAGAATTTTTTTTTATGTCCAATTTTCACTTTATGTGAGTATTGTAATAAATTAAAATATTTTATAATTTTCGGTTACCTACACTTGATTGAATCCGATATAGTTTAAATTTACATTTGTTTCGAGGTTGTTAACCAGAGTCTGGAAGAAGTTGTTGGTTATGTGCGGTTAAACCAAAAAAAAAAATTAAATCCATAAAAATTGTTTTATAGTAAATAATTTTTACAGTGATTTATTATACTAAGAAACAAAATAATTTTACAATCCATAAATTTACATACCTTATAAGAATTCATGTGATGTTTTTACTTCCATGATGATTGTACTTGCATCACATTATACCCGTTTAGAAAAATTCCGTTCTAGATTTTTTTGGTGTGAAACTATTAATAAATTCTTAGACCAAATTACTACACTAATAATTTCAGCATGCATGTAAAGAATTTTCCGACAAAAAAAAATTTCCAAAAAAATCAAATTACTCATAATCTACTCTATCTACTCTATTAAAATAGAGTCTTTCTTTTTATATACTGATACACATTGTCATTTAAATTTGGACCCATTCTAGAATGTTATAAATAAATATAAGTCATATAATTGTATGAACCGTATTACTTAAACTAAACCAACACAAATAATGTAAAGAGAGGACTTTAATGTAGACTACCTTCAAATATGGTAGGTATTTATGTGTATACTAAAAACACATATTTTCTCCTGCAAATATGGAATGTTCTAAAAGAATATATATCATCAAAATATGGAATATGGAAATCTACTAATTATACTTAAATTCAACCAGTGATTATTTATGGAATATAGTCGTGGGATTACTTTTATTTTTTGAACAAATTATATAGTTTGATTTTTGGGCTTAGTATTAAGAAAAAAACTCTAAAAACATTGAATAAACTTTTCACCTTAAAAGATCAAAAAATCAATTATTATTTTCAGACCCAAAAGATATTTAATATTTTTAACAAAACAAAATTATCTATTATTAATCATTTATTTAAATCATGTACTTTAAAACATGTTAATATATTTTTTTTTATTTTAAATAACAATCACTTTGTTTTGATAAATTTCAATGGTAACTTTTAAATAATTTATTGTTTTATTTTTCTTAAATAATTTACTGATTAAAAAAATATAAACCAAAACCAAAAACCAAATCTAAAAACTAAAATCCAAAACCAAAAGCTGAAAACACATGTTTCTGCTTTGTTTATTTACAAAATAAACTATTTCAAAATTTTTTTTAAATTTGTTGTCATCTTTTCAGTTTTGAATTAGATGTTCGATTATTTGAGATTTGTTTGTTAGTAATATTAGTTCAAACTAACTCAGCGAGTTTAAAAATTAAAAATCCAAACCAAAAACTGAAAATGAAAAGTAGAAACTTAAAAACCAAAATCTAAAATTAAAAACTGAAACTAAAAACTAATGAAAAATAATCATCACCACAAATTTAGGTGAACTAATTTTATATCGAATTATTCTTTAAACTAAGACAAAATCCAATTATATAAATTTTAATCATAAAAAATTTATGCGCTTTCAAACGCGGGTCAAAATCTAGTATTTATTATCTTTAGCCCAATTTCATTACCCACTTTTGTATGTACTCTCGTTTCTTTTTCTCAAACTTGCTCAGTTTTCTGTGTATGTATTGTATATGACTATATGATTTGACAAAATATATATATGTTATGATAATGTAAAAAAACTATGAAGTGTTACGTTAACATTAGGGAAAAATCGCATAAAAAACCTTCAAGGTGGCAACCACTTACACTTTAAACCCTGAGAGTATTTTACAAGCATTTTAAACATTCAAGTTGGCCAATTTAGCATATTAAACCTCCAATCTGGCTTACTTGTACATCAAGTTAAAAATGTGACCGGTACTGTTCAAAAGCGATGACGTGTCGGTTTGTTTTTTTTTTAAAAAAAAAATTTACTAAAAAATAAATATAAAAATACAGAAAATATAAAAATTCATTAAAAATTCATTAAAAATTCATTAAAAATTGAAAAAATCATAAAAATTTTAAAAAATCAGAAAAATCATTAAAATTAAAAATATCACAAAATAATTAAAATATTTTATTAATAAAATATTAAAAATAAGAAAAACTTAAAAGAAATTATAAAAAATCCCAAAATAAGAAAATTCAAAAATTTTAAAGAAAATAAAAAGTAAATTTAAATAAAATTAATATAGGGATTTTTTATAATTTCTTTTAAGTTTTTATTATTTTTAATATTTTATTAATAAAATATTTTAATTATTTAATGTTTATGGTTTTTGATATGTCATCGTATAATTAATTGTATTTGATATGTACCATCAAATGATTCTCGTGAACCAAATCAAAGCAAACAAGTTAAAATCCAAGTCTTTTAGCAGTTATTAAAATTCCCTATATTAATCTAGTTATAAAATCCATAAAACCTTGATTAATAAGCAACAAAATGAGAACAAAATAACTTGGAATTTAATTTGTTTGCTTTGATTTGGTTCACGAGAATCATTTGAAGATAATGATTCTATTTAAAAAATATAGTGTTTTCTCGTTTTTTTATAAAATAAATAAAATTATTTATTCTTGAATTTATATTTGTATTATCTATTATTCTTATATTAATTTTATTTAATTTTCGGTTCTATTTTATTTAAATTTTTTTGAATTTTCTTATTTTGGGATTTTTTTATAATTTCTTTTAAGTTTTTATTATTTTTAATATTTTATTAATAAAATATTTTAATTATTTTGTGATTTTTTAATGTTTATGATTTTTCTGATTTTTTTGAATTTTTTATGATTTTTTTTCAATTTTAATGATTTTTTAATGATTTTTGTAATGAATTTTTATATTTTCTGTATTTTTATATTTATTTTTAGTAAAATATTTTTTTTTTTAAAAAAAAACGACACGTCATCGCTTTTGAACAGTACCGGTCACATTTTTAGCTTGATGTACAAGTAAGCCAGATTGGAGGTTTAATATGTTAAATTTGCCAACTTGAATGTTTAAAGTGCTTGTAAAATACTCTCAGAGTTTAAAGTGTGTGGTTGCCAACTTAAAAGTTTTTTATGCGATTTTCCCAATTAATATATATTGAAAAAAAAACTGTTACATTGATATTATCCCGGATACTTTGATCAATCTTGTTAGGAACATGTCATCATCAAACCAAACCTAATAAGAAAAGTGAGATCGAACTTCTTATATGAAGACTAAACAAGAGATCATCAAGCTTAAGATCATATAACTTAGGGGGTCTAACCATGCCTAGCGCTTATTCAACAACCAAAGTGTTCTTTCTCTTCCTTTTAGTTTTGGTGGAGGCTTCATCGTTGGAGAAAGAAGATCCTTCTTTTGATGAGAGTTATTTACAAAATCCTATATGGAAGCATCGTTCTTAATTATCGGGCGACTAGATTAAGGCACGGCAAGAAGAGGGATTTCAAATCTCGAGTCAAAGCGCAAAAACTCGCTCCTAGAGGTAAAGTTAACTCCTTATTCTTAAACCATATAGCTAAGTGAATCTTAACTGATCCAGCCAGTTATGGACGCTAGGCTAATGGACACAACCGGCTAAAACATTCGTTTTGGTTAGCAAAATTTAAAGATATATTATATATAGATGGCATGGCCTATATCGACTGTTGACTTTTTTTAGTTGATTTTATATATTCCAGATCCAGCCCTACATCCACATGCGAATGTGGATATAAGATGGGACATGACGTATGAAAGTGATGGTAGTTACTCGGCTAATGTCACAATCTCCAACTACGTGATGGATCACGAAATTGAACAGCCATGGAAATTAGCGTTTATATGGGTAAAAAGGGAAACACTACTTAGCACTTTGGGTACTGAAGGCACACAACACGGCTTTGTTTCTGTGGGTAAGGACGACGACGACACGTACTGCTTGAACAACGTGACCTTTGTGGACTTACCACGACAAACTGATCCTACTCTCTGCATAGGTGGTGTGATGCTTCCGAGCTTAATCAAAGATGACATTGCGAAAAGCTCAACTTCATTTCAGATTTCTGTTAGCCATTTTAATAGTAGAGGATATCGTGCGCACCAGCCACCTTCTGATGCAACTTTGACCACACGAGGATTTGAATACGATCGTGAATGTGATTCAATGGAGCAAGTAATTGATGCTCATCTGAGTAAGTCCATTGTATATTGTTGTGTGGTACATCTTATACATTCCCACTTATTTTGTAAGCTTTTACGATCAGTTATGTCCTTTTTTTCTTTTCTTTAGATACATGGAAGACGAGGTGCATTCTCTCCATTGCCAAAGCTAACGAGTTCGAGGAGATTCATGAAGAATTATGATTTATGAAGCTGTGGTTTTTTTTTTCGTTTTTCCTTTTGTGTTGGTGTTTTCATTTTGTAAGCTGCAAAATATGTTTTAGCTTTTCTTAGAAATTATTTTTATGTATGGTAATAAATTAAAATATGTAACTTTAGGTTACCTCTACTTGATTGAATCCGATTTAATTTTAATTTAATTTTGATTGGAGTCTTATAGTTTAATTCTGTGGTTGATTGGAATAAACAGTATTTTTATATTTTTTGTTGTAGAATTAAAATATTAGATTTTTTGATGCGTCTGTAAATAATATAGAGATTTATCGATATGAAATCGACTTATGTGCGGTTAAACCAAAAAAATTATAAAAGTTATTTTATATTCATAAATATTTTCTTTTTACTGATATATTATACTAAGAAACAAAATAATTTTACAATCCACAAATTTAAATATCTTAGAAGAATTCATCTGATGTTTTACTTCCATGGTGATTCTGTTCTAAATATTCATCTGAAAATTCGGTTCTAGATATTTTTTGGTATTAAAATATTAATAAATTTGCTGACCAAAATCAATATTAATAATGTAACATCTCGGTTTGTGGTATTTGAAAAAGACTTAAGAGGATTGATTTGGTTACCTATATCATCAAAGTGCACTTACCTTTTCGGGAGCACATCCAGAGAGAACTCCAGAGTTAAACGTGCTTGAGCTGGAGTAGCCAAAGGATGGGTGACCTATCGGGAAGTGATTTGCGATACCGTGTAAGTGAGGCCAAAACACGGGGAAAGGTCGAGTGGTGATTGCAGGGTCAGTAAACATGACTCTAGAGCCTTGGAAAATTAACGGACCGACCGTTGGAACGGGATGGGCCCACGGGCCGAGAGAGCGGGCGTGGGTGGCCCATTAGCTGTGGGCGGTCGGAGTGTTACAAGTGGTATCATAGCCGAACCCCGACGAGTGTGGAGTCAGTGAGGGCTCACACTAATAAAGGTAATGATCTTGGGGCGCAACAGGGACGTTGCGTTCTTTGAGAGGGGGTGAATTGTAACATTCCGGTTTGTGGTATTTGAAAAAGACTTAAGAGGATTGATTTGGCTACCTATGTTATCAAAGTGCACTTACCTTTTCGGGAGCACATCCAGAGAGAACTCCAGAGTTAAGCGTGCTTGAGCTGGAGTAGTCAAAGGATGGGTGATCTTTCGGGAAGTGATTTGCGATACCGTGTAAGTGAGGCCAAAGCACGGGGAAATGTCGAGTGGTGATTGTAAGGTCAGTAAACATGACTCTAGAGCCTTGAAAAATTAACGGACCGACCGTTGGAACGGGATGAGCCCACGGACCGACGGTTGGAATGGGATGGGCCCACGGACCGAGAGAGCGGGCGTGGATGGCCCATTAGCTGTGGACGATCAGGGCGTTACAAATAAATTCTTAATTTTTTTTTGCCGGCAAATTCTTAATCAAACACTACACTAAATAAGTTTAGCATGTGAAGAGTTTTCCAAAAAGATTGATTTATTATTAAAAAATTCGTTAAATAAAACTGATTGGAATACTTTCTGTACAGTCAAAAAAAAAAAAAAGTCAAACTTTTGTCAGCAGCCGACTTAAAACCTCTCCGGCGACAAAGAGGAGCAGCACCTCTGTTGGAACACGCGCCTCCGGAAGAAGAAACACGGTCATGGGTAGACTCTCATTAACCAGTTCCATTCAGAGATTCCGCTTCTTCTCCTACTTATCTCAGGTTCTGCTTAATTTCCCTCTCTTCCTCTCTAACTGGTCTTAATAACGGTTAAGCTCTGTAGTTTCTGTCCTAATGTCCCCAAGTTGTTTGAGAATTTAAAGAGCTTCATTACACTATATCAAAGACTTGATCTTTCTTTTGTTTGTCTATGCATTGGTGAAGATTTGCTGAAACAGCTTCTGAACTAATGATAAAGCACTTGTGTGTGTTCTCTTTTGTTTATGTCTATTAGCTTAATGCAAGAAGAGGTGTTGTCCCTTGCTCTAGCTATGGAAGTCATTATTATCTTTCGTCTTTAGGTAATATTATTAGTTTCCCTTTCCCTGAATGAATAGTCCTTCTGATTTAGTCTATAAACGAGAGTGTGGTTCCATTTTGGTTTAGCTGAAGCTTCAGACTGTGAGCTTGATGAATCTCCAGATGATACCAACATAGTGGAGAAAGACACTAATCTTCGTTCAGCATTATCAGAGCTTTCGGTTTCAGGCGTTTTTGATGAAGACTCTAAGTTGTGGTTGCAGCGGTTCTCAAGAACACGGAGAGTTTCTGTCATATCTACCGGTTCACTTAACCTTGATCTAGCTCTAGGTGTTGGAGGATTACCAAAGGTTCGTTTTTTATTTAGAGTCTAAAATATCCTTTAAATGTTTGTTTACAAGAGAAAGTTTGAGTTTTTCTTTTTTTGATAGGGAAGAATGGTTGAGGTTTATGGTAAGGAAGCTTCTGGAAAGACAACTCTAGCTCTTCATATCATCAAGGAAGCTCAAAAGCTTGGAGGCTATTGCGCTTACCTTGATGTGGAGAATGCCTTGGATCCTAGTTTAGCTGAGTCAATAGGTGTGAACACAGAAGAGCTTCTAATATCAAGACCTGATTCCGCTGAAAACATGCTGAGTATTGTTGATGTGCTAACCAAGTGTGGATCAGTAGATGTCATTGTAGTTGATAGTGTGAGTTCTTATTCTTTCATCTCAAACATGTTCATGTAATCTTTCTCCATCTGCTAATATTAGAAGTGGGGAGTTTTACAGGTTGCTGCTCTTGTCCCTCAATGTGAACTTGGTGTTCCTCTTGGAGATAGATACAGAGACAGACAATCAGTAATAATGACACAAGCGCTCAGAAAAATCCACTTCTCAGTTGCTAATTCTCGTACGCTCATCGTTTTTCTTAACCAGGTAAGACAAGTATTGTGAATAGTGTTCTAAAAAATCGGACCTAAACGAAATCATTTTTCTAGGTCTAGTTGTTCAAAAAACGGTGAAATCAAGGCCTAGCGATTTCTTGAACATTGATTCTGAATTTTTGATTTATCCTCATTTGTTTCTTTAGTTGGATCCTACAGAAAGATAAGATCTCTCTGCTTATTGTTTTTTTTTTGTCTGGATCAGGTCAGATCACATGCCAAATCTAACATGCGTTTCCCACATTCAGAAGAAGTGACTTGTGGAGGAAACGCATTGAGATTTCAGGCAGCTATACGTCTCAAAATGATAAGAACAGGGCTGATAAAGACTGACAATGAGGTATGTGTATAAGCATATTGTTGTGAATGTGTTAGCTTCATCTCCATTGATCTTTAAAATACTGCTTAATTTCTGCAAACAAACTCATGCATATAGATAAGTGGTCTGAATGTGTGCGTGGAAGTGGTGAAAAACAAACTAACGCAAGGAAAGAAGAAAGCTGAATTGGGGATTCACTTTGGTCGTGGCTTCTACGTGGAGCGTGAGGTATTAGAATTGGCTTGTGAGCATGGAGTTATTGCAAGAGAAGGTAATAGCCATTTGATTGAAGGCGAGGTTGTTGATGGGAAAGAAGCAGCTGAAAAGTATCTGCTGGAAAATAAGGAGGTCCTTGATACCGTCATTAGTATCCTGAGGAAGCAGCTCTTCTAGATGTGTCAGAGAGAATTCTGTAGAGCTTTTCCATCAAGTGAAGACTTTGAGGCGTCTCATTTAAGCAAATGTGGAACATTCTTTCAGTAACTTAGCTTTTCTACTTAGCCATTGTGAACAGTTCAGGTCATGCAACCCTTTGTGTGTCTCTTCTTATTGCAATGTATATCAATCGTTTATGGAATGTGCGAAGGGTGTTTGAAGAAACAATATGTATATATAATGTTTTCTTAAACTAATATAATCAAACTTGAAAATTAACCATGGGTTTAGTGGAAGATCAAACAGAATGTACATCAACGGAAACGTTTCAAAAGATTACACCGTTAAAACATTTACTAGCCGTGCATTAATAACTACTAGTTAAGAGTTATGTTGGTTAATTTCATTACATTGTTATCTTGAAGGAGTAGAGAGCTGCTTCTTAAGGTCGATGACTTCGAGTGCTTTTGATGCTAACTTCTCCTTTAGCGTTGCGGATGCTTCTTGGAACTTCCTGTTCATAACTTCTGCTTCTCTCACAGCCTGCTTGTGTCTTATACATTTTGCATCTAAGCGTGCTTGCGTCTCCATAAGTCTCATTTTTAGCTTTGCCTTCTCCTTGTTGTCTAATTCCGCATCCTGTAATAAGATACAGCAGATATGTTAAATTGGTCATCTCTGAAAAGAAAGAACCTATCACACACAATCAAATATCTCGATCTTGTTGAAACTGACAGATTGTATGGCATTGATTCTTTTGGTGTAAAGGGTCAATCTTAATCACTAAGAGAAACATAATAAGGACATTTCACTTGGCGTCACCTTGCATAGCTTGGCTTCTTGGCTTGAGACTCTACGAGTCAATTCTTCAGCCTGACAGCAGTAATAGGGTTCTAGTGAGAATGAATGGTTAATACTACGTAAATGTATCATAGAATCATGTATGTGTGCTCTTAACCTAACCTGCAAACGATTTGATGAAGCCACTTCCTTCTTCATCTCCTCTATGCGAGATAGCAAACTCTGGCGCTCGCTTGTGACATAATCAAGCTCTCTCTGAAGTGTGTCTGACATCTCGCAAGCAAGTTGAAGTTCGGACTTTAGAGCGTTAATATCAGACTTGAGTTCCTGAAGACGCAAATAAAATATTATGTATGAAGCTTTGAATCTGTAACATACCACTTTAACCGACATACCATAAACATGAATGTCATAACCAGAAAGTCAGATATTATCATAGGCATCGTCACAAATTTGAATGTAATACAACTTCTGGACCAGACGTTCAGAGAAAAACCTTTTGAATTAACATAGTGAAATGATTCTTACCTCTTGAGATTGTTTACTCGCGGCATGAGCTGATTGAAGTTCATTCCCAAGTCTATCAATCTCCAAAGACTTCTCCATGCTACAGGGGAACATAAAAGAGCGTTTTCAGAGAGTAATTTTAATTTTCTGAAAGAAAGAGAAATAAAAAGTACAAACCTGCGTTCCTTTTCCTGCTTAGCGTTTTCTTCAGAACTTCCTAGCCTATCAGCAAGGGTGAGACATTCAAGTCGACAAGATTCCAGCTCCCGCTTTGCCTAAAAGTTCAATGGGATTGACAACTTAGAATAGCATGGTAAAATGTAGAGAAAGCACAATAAATGATTGGAAACCAGTAGTAGTTGGCTAAGCCTGAGAAAGTTTAACAAGTTGATAATTTTAAAGGCAGACATCCGAAATGATTTGATAGCCATGGTGTTGCAAGAGAAGTTCTGTTACGATCTCACTATAAGAAGTTTTTGGATTCGAACATACCTCTGCTATTTCTTTAGATAATGACTCTATTTTTATATTATCTAGTCTCATATTTTCCTCCATGGACTGTGTTAAAGTTTTTTCTTTGGAGCTCCATATTGCTTTCTCTTCCTCCATCTCTAAAAGTGCGTTTGCCATATGCTGACAACATGACAAATTAATGGAACTACTCAAACAAAGAACTAAGTTAAAAAATCTGTCTATGCAATCATCATACCATTGCTAGCTCTTCTTTCTCTTCAAGAAACTGTTTAACTTTGGTTTCCAGTTGTTGCTGATCAGAAGAAGAGCTTTCAAGTCTCGCTTTCTGAAACATAACAAGCAAAAGCATTATATCTTAGAATACATTAATCAATTAAAATTCAATATTAGCTTATGGATCAATCATCAATTGCATGAAAAGACTTACAAGCTCCGTGACATCTATTTGCAGCTGTTCTAGTTGTGTATTTGAGTGCTCCAGCTTCTCTGTCAGAGAAGTAATCTCTGAATCTAAACCCTCGTTTCTAGATAGCAACTCCTCTTTTTCTCCACGTTCAGCAGCGAGTTCCTCTTCCAGTGACGCAATTGTAGTTTCCATCTCAGAAGCAAGCGCTTCTAGGTTGTGATAGTCTTCCTAATAAATGCAAATTAGGCATTAGGATGAGAATTTGATTTAAACAAAGGTAGCATCCACCAAACAGACTGATATGACTAGCCAGCTAGAAAAGATACCAAAGGATAGATATAACAGTCTTTTATCAGGCATGCTCACAGTGTTTGAATAAAGACAAACTAACCAAGAGAGAGAGAGAGAGATTTGCTGCAGTATGATCATTGTATCTCATATCTACAACTTTAACGTAACATTTATTGTGCGGACATGTTACTCGATAATACAATGGTTGAAAGAAATATCATGCAGCCAAATAATAATTAGATAATACCTGCAACGACTGGTTTGCATTTCTCTCAATAATAAGAGAGTCTTGTCTTTTACCGGCAAAAGATTCTTGTTTGCTGATATCTCTCTCGAGGAGGGCTGTTTGGCTATGCAAGCGTTTTAACTCTCGCTCAGCAGATGCTTTTGCGGCCTTTCTCAGAACATCAAAATTGTTAGTATAAACTAGATGGGTTATCCAATCAAAAAATACAAAACGTATGCTTAAAATTGGATTACTCCACAAACCTCTAGCTTGGTTTTATCCTGCATGGCATTCTTAAGCTTGGATTCAGTATCCTTTAGCTTTGTTTTCGTCTTCTCAAAATCTTTTCTTAGATTTTCCTTCTCTTTGGCCAAAGAAGAGGTTGACAGACTCGCTATATCCTTCTCAAGACCTTCTATGTGAGAGAGAAGATCTGACCTCTCCGACTCATTTTGTTCTGAGAGCATCTGAGAAATGGTTAAAAACACCAAATTTACTTTTAACACTGGAAGGTTTGAAGAAGAACTCTAATAAAATTTGTTTGAAGAAAACTGAAGTACCATTAAGGAAGTTCCATGCTTTTGGGCTTCCTGAGTTAGTTCTTCTATTTGGCTCTGCAGACCAGCACACTGCTCTTGCAAAAGAACCTGGAAAGGAATATCACGACTTTAGCTAACAATACAGACAGATTTACCATCAAGTGTAGAGTGAGAAGGGAAAAAGAGTTTGGACCTTCTCATTCTCAATGTCAAGAACTTTTTGTTTAAGACATGATTGGACATTTTGATAGCTTCTGATATGTGAAGCATGCTGCTCAAAACTCTGGCGCATAAACAAAGTGAAATCCTACAGTGAAAAATTGTTAATTAGAAAACTTGATCATCTGTCTTTATTACTAGACATAACTGAGGTATGCTGCCTAATCACAGATTCCACCCATTACAGAAGCTACTAACAAGGCAAAGTACTTACATGTATCAAAGGAGAGACGAAAGCAAAATCTTGGAAACCGTCATCCATAACTAACGAAATGGTTTCAAACGAGGCTTTTAATTTTTGAAATTCAGCTGCTAAGACTTCAACTTCTGTTGCGACATTGACCAGAGAGTCAAAATTTTCCTTCACAGAAGCAAGTAAAAAACAATTAGGCAACAATGATAATCTGCTTTGGAATTTTCAGATTATTGGGATGAATCTAAAGTGGAAACTAACAGTAAGCACATGAATGACTTCAGACTCCTTGGATACAAGTTGTTCGCGAGCAACCTGAGCCTCTTCTCTAGCAGTATGAATCTCTTCTTGAATCTATAGAATTTCATACAATCAAAAACATAAATTAGAACCGTAAATTAGAACCAAAACAAGACTAGAAAGCTGACTGAATTTAGGTTGCAGTTGTAGGTAAAGAAAAGAATAAACGCACCTGCTTAATGAGAAGAATAGCTTCTGGATCCCTAAGATGTACACTGCTTTCATCCCGATGTACATTACCAACGACTCGACAATCTAAATGCTTGCATGTTGCTTCACCCAACTTTGCCTTAAGGCACTCAATTTGTACTTCGTTGGTAATTCTCTATTGGAAGGTACAGAGAAATAAGAAACAGAAAACACAACCTACTGATGTTTAGAGGGACAAAGTATTACCTCAGTTTCATATTGCACGATAAGGTCATCATATTCCCTTTGAATCCTGTCTGACTCGCTTTCAACCTATGAAACATTTACAATATGCCAGCTTTACAACAAGATAAGCACACGATATATTCAAAAATAAAGACTGACCACTACGGGAGTTTTCTGCCTGATTGATAATGGTTTCTTTCTGCTAGTCACATGCACTAAAGCACATGGATCTGGAAGTGCAGAATCTTCAAGGGTTTCATCGATACTATTTTCATCTTGCTCGCTGATGCTATATAAAAGTTCGTTTCCTACCAGTTCCGCAAATGGAACTAGTGGGCCTGTCTCACGCTCGGATCTTTCAGAGTTAAGAGAGGATCCCCTTGACAAGACATGCGACTCAACCTGATATGCAAGAAGCAAAGTATTTCATGGCTGAAAAAGTCAAAAAAAAAATTCAATGATTTTGTTGGCCATCTACAGAATTTTACCTCTGATGTGGAATCCCGTGAAAGGTGACCAGTACACCATGTATCCCTCCTCTTTCCCTGCAAGGATATGTTTTTGAATAAATGTATAGCGCCTAGCAGATGCTGTTTAAACACTAAAGGTATCACTAAAAAAAAGAATGGAAGAAAAAGAAAAATACCTTCTTAAAGTTATCCTGCTCACGCTTCTCATCTCTATTCGAAAGGAGAACCATTGTACTCAAGTTCTCAATTTTTTTTGCTTGCTCTTGCAAAACTTTTTCCCGCTGAGCTTGTGCCTTTTTCTCCTCTTCTAATTCGAGTGCTATCCGCTCTCTTTCTAATTCAGACTGCAGAGAAACGGTTGTATGAAAAACATATTAAAAACTAATCAACTGAAGAATCAAGAACAAAAATGCCAGACCTTCAGCAAGGTATTGCGCAAGTTAAGAATCTCTTCGTCTGAATGGTCAGAGTGTGAAGCCTGCAATAGAAAAGCTGAAATTTCACACAATATAAAAACATAAAAGATAAGTTTGAGAAATAAAATGAAAACATTTAAGCAACCTTTAGTTTGGATCTGAGCTCCTCTATTTCCTTCTTTTGGCGCTTTAACAAAGCAGCATCAGTCAATATCTGTAAGCAAAACCGGATAGGTTATTAGTTTTGAAACATGCACATCTTATACACCAAATTAATCAGGAAGTACAAAGATAGAGAGAAAAACCCAAGATGATTGGATCCTACCTCGTTGACATGTGCACAATTAGTGACACGTAGTGCTCGGCTAGCAAACTGAAGACTGCTCTTGGTTTCATCTGCGTGGATCTGCCATCAAAACGAATATAACATTATTAGTTGTACTAAAGCAAACAATGAGAAAATTGAAGACTGCTATTTCATCTGCCTTGCTCATCCTCATGCCATACTATTGGTGATTAATACGTACTGGCGCAAGTGTTATATTGCATATGATAGCTGTATTTGCATTTCCACCTAAAGCGGGTTGCAAGATCCTTGTAAGCTTGCTGTCTCGGTACGGAACATGACCACTGATTCAATTAACGAAGATGTCAATAAGACTAGACATAATGCTTATGTACCATATGATTTTTAACGTAACAAAACTAGACCAAAAACTTACCCTTGATTTTCAACTCCTTCACTCAGCTTTTTTATTACAGTCCCGAGTGTCATCAAGCTCTTGTTTATATGTGAGCCTTCCTTCAGCCTAACACCCTCTGCACCTGTTTTTGAAGCCCGTTCCGAACCAGCTAGATCCACCAAATTCTACAAGTAAAAAACAGATGAAACGCAAAATAACATGTTTATATCATGAGAACGAAAAAACTAGTTCCAACAGATAGTACCAGAACAGAAACACGGACTGCATCACAGGCATTTCCAACACCTTCATCTTGCGTCTTCTGTCTACTTTCTATAATCTGTTTGATGAAAAATCTTGCACGTTTAAATTCAGCTTACACATAACTCAGCACTAAGGTTGAGTATATATATATATATTTACCATGCGGAAAATAGTGTGAGATCTGCTACTGTGAACATTCATATTTGTCTCCCCAACATGCCGATGAGCTGAAATTTGTCCCCAAAAAAATTGAATAACCATTCATTAAATCAGTGTTATCAAAACCAAGACTGAGACAGAAGAAACGCATGTGCACAGGTTATGAAACACACAAAGACTCAGTTTGAAAAGAACAAATAGAGAAGAAAAATAATGTGAAGAGAAGAGAAAGTACATTCTCCAAATTCCATCATTTCAAGAACTTGTTGAGGGGAAGCGACAATTTCTTCTCGTAGCCCAGCCACAAATATTCCTTTCTACAACATTTAAAAGTTGAAAAACGCATCAGACTCGCTAGAAGAAAGATGATTCTAAGAAGACATATATGTTGTACCTCTAGGTTCTCATGAATCTGCAATTTTCGGTGTTCAGGAGCCAAGAGATCGTTTATATCTTCGTTATAAATCTCCAGATACGACATACGCAATAGAAACTCCCTGCTAGCATCCTTGTGGTTGAACCAAAGAAAAAGAAAAAACTCATTCCTCTAATCAAAAACTTTCCACAAATAACACCAAATCTAAAAGAAAACCACTTTACAAACATAAACACACAAGTTTCGAGATGAACCTGATATATAGTCTCAAACAAATCATGAACAGCAAGAGGGATGACTCCTGGTTCAGTCGGTGAGCCACGCATTGTATGCGTCTTGCCACTATTAGTTTGCCCATAAGCAAACACAGTCCCTTCAAAAAACGAAACAGATACAATTAGCCAAAAACGAAACAGAAAACTTAGCACAATTGCAAACACCTTAAACCCTAAAAAGTAGTAACGGATACTTCATGACTCCACCAGTATGAAATCAAAGAGCCAAAGACTACTGAGATACCAAAATCGAACCAAACCAAATCGAAACCCTAACTTAATCAGCTAAACCTCTCTGAGTAATTGCTGAGTATTACCGTTGAAAACTCAGCACAATTGCAAACACTTTAAACTCAAAGACTACTGAGACATCAAAATCGAAACCCTAACTAAATCAGCTAAACCAATCCGAGTAATTGCTGAGTATTACCATTGAATCCACGAACGGCAGCAGCAACGATATCCTTCGTCCGAGCTTCATACACTTGCACAGTCTTACAATCCTCTCTGAATATCCTATCTGTTATCGCAATAGAGAGATTAAGCATGAGAATTTTCCAGTAAAAGATGGAGGAGAGGGAGACTAGTGAGGAAGAAAAGTACCAAACTCGAACGAGAGAGAAGAGTGATTAGGCATGAAAATCGAATCCGAGGAGATCTTCCATGGACTCGTTTTCGCGTCCTCCGTCGAAAGCGGACGAGATCTGACTGAGACGTGTATTCTCTCCATTTCCTCCGACGCGGAGCCGATTTTTTTTTTTTCCGGCGTAACAGAAACCTAAAGGTGTTCGAAATTTTCCCTCCAGTCTCTCTACCACTGAACTTGTTGTTGACCTATGTTTTCGAATTTCAAAACCGGTTCGAACCGGTTTATTAATTGACTAAACCAGTAGAGATATCGTTTCCCCCATTTGATGCGCCGTTTGTGAATTTAATGCAAACAATTAAATGTGTAACATGTGTTGATGGAAGTAAAAAATATGCCTAAATATTAATGTGTAACTAGATTTTGACCCGCGCTTGAAAAGCGCGATAAATTTTTTTTGGATTAAAAGTTCATATAATTGAGTTTTGTAGTATGTTTTGGTATAAAATCAGTAATCTAAAATTTGTGGTGATGATTGTTTTGTATTAGTTTTTAGTTTCAGGTTTTTTTTTATTTTTAGATTTGGTATTTGATTTTTAAGTTTCTATTTTTGATTTTCACCTTTTGGTTTGGGTTTTTAGCTTTTAGATACGTTGAGTTAGTTTGAACTCATAATTACCAACAAAGAAATTCCAAAGAATCGAACATCTAATTTAAAACTGAAAAGATGACAATTTTTTTTTAAAAAATTGCAATAGTTTATTTTGTAAATAAAAAAAAACAAAAATATAACCTGCGTTTTCAGCTTTTGGTTTTGGATTTTAATTTTTAGATTTGGTTTTTAGTTTTGCTTTACATTTTTTAATCAATAAATTATTTAAGAAAAATAAAAAATAAACGATTTAAAAGCTACCATTGAAATTTATCAAGACAGAGTGATTGTTATTTAAAAAAAAAAATATATTAACATGTTTTAAAGTACATGATTTAAATAATTGATTAGTAATAGATAACTTTGTTTTGTTAAAAATATTAAATACTTCTGGACCTGAAAATAGTAATTGATTTTTGGTGGAAAGTTTATTCAATGTTTTTTGGAATTTTTCTTTAATACTAAGCCCAAAAACCAAACAATATAATTTGTCATAAAAATAAAAGTAAGCCCAAAACTCTATTCCATAAATAACTGCCGGTTTAATTTAAGTAATGCAGTTCAATCATCAATCAACTATATGACTTATTTTATTTGTAACACTCTAGAAATGGTCCAAATTTAAATGACAACTTGTATCAGTAGATAAAATTAATGACTCTATTCTGATAGAGTAGATTTTGTGAATGTGGGTTTGGATATAGATCATCAGTCGGATAAATTAATGTGCAGATCCGCTGATCAAAACTAAAACTAATGTGCAGATACATTATTATTTTAATGGAATTTAGTAGGTATGACCATTCAGATGTTCATGTTCGGAGATCGTCTTGATCCTGGTTTCTTGGATCCTTTAGATATTAGGAAAATTTTGATTAGATTCGGATCAGTTTGTATCTATAATTAAAATTAAATACCTATAAATACATGTAATTTTGAAAATTTTAATGGGTAGCAACTATGGATTCATTTGGGAATGTAGGATCCAAAAACATGAAATACTTGAACTTTATCAGAATTTAGCCAAAATTTATTGTACTAATCTAAAATTTGCAAAATAATCAAAATAGAATAATAATAATTAAATATTTATATTTTTAAAATTCTAAAGTTGACATTTAAATTTTCATATTACTTAAGAATATTACAAAATAATGAAATTTCAAACAATAGGACATTACAAGTAATTATAAATTGAAATATATAAAATAAAATACATGAAATCATAGTCTTTCATATTCATGTTTTAGGTTGGTACTGATTGGTTTTTATTGGGTTGAATCTGTGAATTTTTTCAGGTTCAGATCTATATGGGTTGGTTCTTTATATAGAGAAATTTTAGACATACGTAGGTATTTATAAAAACCCAGTTCAATTTTGAGTCACATATTTTAAATGATTCTAGTTCAGATTTTTTAGTCCAGATAGTCCAAACCTAGAGTTTAGTTTATTTACGGCCTTTTCAAGGCAACTTATACTTTTATAAAAGCCATTTGAGATTTTTCACTAATTTTTTGTTAAAAAGTTAAAACTTTTATTTTATTTCTAATTAATATATTAAATCTTTAATATTACTAATTAACAAGCTAAAATGTGTATGGGTGTCCAAAACAACAAGCTAAATGTGTATGAATCAAACTGAAAATTTTGTCAAAAATCTACATTGAAACTGCAGTAAAATGACATTTTGAAACTGTAAAATGACATTTTGAAACAATTTTGAACTCTTAGATAATATATAATTAAAAATACTTCTTATCAACAATAAAAAAAGTAGGTGGATTTGAATTGAAAGGGTGTCACAATACTACCACAACTAGATATCATAGTCAATGACTATCGTTGACTATCCTTATGCTGAGTTGAATCCTCGTCACTTGTGTCAACAAAGAGTCAAAGCTAAGTATTCCATTAGTTTAGTAATTGTAGAGATACGTTGTATTTGTATATGAAAGATGAGTGGAGAGAAGATAATGATGTGAGTACTAATAAATTGGTTCTATGAACTACTATTAAAATAAAAAGGTAACATAAACAAATATTGCATGAATATTATGAAGATCTAGAGTTGGAGGTTGATGAAGGAGTGGTGAAAGCTGCAGGAGGCCTTTTAGCGAAACAGCTACAATAGCCATTGTAACAGATTGGCATCCTCCCTGTGCGCCTACATCTTGGAATGCCAATGTCGATACAATCTTGGTCCGTACAACATATATCTCCAACCGTTACTGTTACCATGCCTGTTCATAGTGTCCAACAGTATAAACAAAGATGATAGAACAAATATATCAAGGATCAATAGCTAAAAAACATATGTAACTTACACAACGAGACAAGGAAGAAGATGACAAAAATTGCTGAAATTTTTTCCATTTTATTGTAGTTGCTTTTGATAGTTTAAATCCTTATATGCTTATGTGTTGATTTAGAGATGATTCGGATTCATGGGTGCATCTATATACTCTAGGTGATTAGCATGGGTTGATCTGGTCAAATACTATGAAATACATTCCCAATATGACTGGTCAATAATGAATAAAATGAATCAAACATTCCATGTTTGTCTGTGACTTATTAAGTTTTCCTAATTAGTGAAAGGGTCACAATATATTAGAGATTTTATGATTTTTCAGAGAGAAAAAGAGAGAGAGAAGAGAAGCTTTTAGATCTGGCCGGCGTCGGAGGGCTCTCTTAGCCTCGATGCCGGTCGGGTGTTAATGATGTGTGTATCTTGTTATTCTATGTCCCAATTTTTAGTTTTACTCTTTTGGTTTTGCATCCGGCGACGCACCTTCCTACGGTGGTCGTTCGGTCTGGGTCTCCGGCGGCGCATCTCCTTATGGTGGTCGTTCGGCTTTCGTCTCCGGCGTCGCACCTCCCTATGGTGGTCGTTCGGCTTTTGGTTAAGTTAAGGGTTTCGGATGACTAGATGGTCGTCGTGTCGTTTATACTTATATGTTATGCTATTCTGTCTCTCGATCACGACATCTGGTACCGCATAATAGTTATGTCGGCGATGCTGATCGATTGAAGGTGTTTAGTCATGTGGTTGTTTTCGTAGATCTGGTTGGTTTGCTGCTCGTTTAAGTTGTTGTTTTCGAGCTCCAGAGCGTTTGTAAGGGTGGGTGTTTTTGTCTCGGAGCTTTCTCCGCCGTCGACGGTATGCCGTCGACGGTATGCCGTCGTGTTTCTGTGGTGGTTCCAGAGGTTGGAGATGGGTCTGCGTCAGAACACGTGTCCGGGGAAGATGATGAGGCTGCGCGGCGGCTGCATCTGGAAAGTTGGTCTGCATTAGGGTTTTCGAGTTATTGGGCTCATGGGCCGTTTTATTTATTTAGTTTCATATGTTGTGTGGGTCTCTCTTTTGGGCTTTTGTAATATTGTTTGGACCTTGTCTTTGGGCTAGACCCTTTGACTTTAATTAAAAACTTTGACGGGAAAAAAAAAAAAAAATATTAGAGATTTTATGAACTAGTGAAATCAAGGTGGCATCATAAGTGACAAGGTAAAGTTATTTTATGCAGAAGACAGAGTTAAAGATTGTGTGATGTGGAAGATGTTTTTGAAAGAGAAAATGACTAAGATAGACTTAATAAAGTTTTTGTCACAAATATAGACTTTAATAATTAAAATGATCAAAATATCATTTAAATATTTTATTAAAATATACATTTATACCCTTTGGGTTAACTAATCCTATATTTTTTTGTTACGAGTTGAGGAGTGGAGTTTTGGGGATAGAGTTTCAAATTTTTTAAAATAAAAAAAAACTTAAAATTTTTTTTTTAAAAATGCTATTTTGATAATTTTAATTTTCTAAGTCTATTTTTGTGATAAAAACTTAAAAAGTGTTATTTTAGAGAATTGCCCTTTTTGAAACCACCATGGTAGGCTCATCTTAAAGATTGTGTGAACCACATTAGCAGTGCCGGTCCTATAAATCTGAAGATTTAAAAAAAGAAAGCCTAAATAAATTTCATGTGGATAGTTTTGGGTAGTTGAACCCAACACCTTCAACATCAGCCATTAACCTCAAAACCACTAGGGTAAAGTCTACTTTTGAAATTTCATGTGGCCAATAAAATATGTATTCTTATGGCGGTTGGAAGCCCATACTTTCCTCACTTGTACCCAGGGCCGCCACTGCACATTAGTGACCTTAGGCTGATGAAACTCAACACCATTGGTTATACAGTTCTGATGCAACATGACAGTACCAAGTGGTGAAGGCAATAAAATATTTTTACTCTATTTTTTGCTATATAAATACATAACTAGAGCTTTAACTCGAACGTCTGTGTGTATATATATTTTTAAAAAATAATATTTTAAATATAAGCTAAATTATGATAATATACATATTTTATAAAAAATTTGGACTCATGTGAACAAATATTTTTTGAAACTTTTTATATATTAGAAAAATATTTTGATGAAACTGCACTAATTATATATTCACAACTTATTTTTATTTATTTATTTTTAAATGTAACATCATATTAATAATTTGTTCGGGGCTCCTTTTGGATTTGATTAAGTTGATTAGGATTTTCGAATTTTCAATACTATACTCACAAATCCCATTCAGGTTTTACAAATTATCGAATCGAGTTCGGTTCAGATTATAACAACAATATAAAATCACCAAAAATATTCCTTTTTAAATCTAAAACAATTGAAAAAATAATATTCAAATATATAAATTATTCACAAACCTAACTAAAAATAAATTACATTACCTAAGCTAACTAAAGGTTACTCAAAATAACAAATAAATAAACTATATATTTTTAAAAATACTCTAAGACATCTAAATTATCTTAACATATATAAAAATAATAACATATTTCACTAATTTTGGATATAGTCGGATCTAAATTTGGATTTCGATTTAGTTCGGGTTATATTCATACTCGAAAGTACCAAATTCTCAAGTCCCATCTCGTTCAGATATTTTTTATAATGATTTGGATTCGGTTTCAGTTTTTTCGATTCAAATTATGATAGGGAGTTTGGTTTGGGGTAAAAACATCCATGCCTATATTCTTCTACTACATAGTTAAATCTACCAAATTAAATGAATACTCCCTCATTTTATTATTATTAAATGTGTTTTCAAACAACACACTAATATGTATCGAAATAATATAAAATCTTTGGCCATATATTTTTAATAACTTTTTTATTCATCTAATTTTCAATAATTTGGCTAAAACACGCAATTCATTTACGAAACAAATTAAAAACAAATATAACTCTTTTCACGGGTTTAGATACTACAAAATAAATTATTTAATATAAAATTAAGTGATTAACGAATTATCTTATTTAAATTTGCATAAATAAACTAATTTCCTTAATTTAAATTTAGTAAAATTTTCTTGAAGTTGACATCGAATAAATCTTATACAGATAAAGTGCGCTAGAATCAGTAAAATAACACAAAATAAGTTTTATAATTTAAAAGTCATCAAATAAGTATATATCACACAATTAATAAACCCAGATGTATAGATTTTATTAAATATATATAACACAAAAGTTATAATAAGTTAAAAACAAAATTAAATAATACATAATTTTCATATTTAATATAAACACAAATAATATAATTATAAAGTTTTCAAATATACTAAAAATTAAAATATTTAAACTTTACAAATCAAAAAATGTTAAAATATATTAATATTTTAAATTACATTTTGTTAGTGATCTCTAATAAAATCTTTCTTTTGGGGAAAGATATATATATTTTTTTTGGTCAAATGGGGAAAGATATCAATATAGATTTCATCCCTTAGTTACGTAAAGCGTATTTGTATTGTACAGGTCAGCATGTGCCGCGTGACTCCATTTGTATCCTTTAAATACAAGAAAAAACGTCTTTTTTTCTTTCCTCCTTTCATCACCATTCTCGTTCACTACCCGCCGCTCAGATCTCGCAACGAATTCAAATTCCTTCTCCACTCTCTCGTCTCCCTATCTCTTCCATCTATCTCCTCGATATGGCGGCAGCAAACGCCCCCATCACCATGAAGGAGGTCCTCACGGTGAGTTTCTCCTTCTCCTTCTCTTCATGGAACCGAGCTTAGTCTTCGACGCTATTGTACCTTACTGTTCAAAATTCTACTCGATCGTTTACTCTCGAATGGCTAGTTCGTTCCGTAATGCATGTGACTTCTCTTGATACGATAAGTCATTGTGTGTAGTTGCAGTGTGATGATATCTGACGTATCACTTGGTTTTTGAAATTTTTACAGCTTCCTAGCGTTGGGATCAATCAGCAGTTCATCACGTTTACAAATGTGACTATGGAGTCTGACAAGTATATATGTGTGCGAGAGACGGCTCCACAAAACAGTGTTGTAATTATTGATATGAATATGCCTATGCAGCCTCTGAGGAGGGCTATTACTGCAGATTCTGCTCTTATGAACCCTAACTCAAGGATCCTTGCCTTGAAAGGTAATTTTATTGACTAATTCCAGTGAATAAACTTGCGTCGCGGTGCTTATCAGTTACAATACCATTGGTAACTCCTACTTTGTTAGTAATGTGGTGAGCAAGCCAGCCTTAATTTACCTTTTAAGGGTTAAACCACATTACTTACAAGTTTAGGCAAATTTTATTATCTATAAGTAATGTATCTGTAGCAGCTGTAGTGAGTCACTTATATGTTAGATAAGTACAGAAGAATACCAAACAATTATAAGGTTTGTGTGTGATTTCACCCCTCTGTGACTTGAGCTTTGTGTAGTTAGAGTAGGCTAAAAAATCTTCTTCTTTGTAGTAGTAGTAGTTTTTGTTTGCTTATATTGGCTATTACTTTTTTTATTGCTTACTTGTGGTTCATTGTTTTCTTCATTTTGTTTATATAGCTCAAGTTCCAGGAACTACTCAGGATCATTTACAGATATTTAACATCGAAGCAAAATCAAAGCTGAAATCACATCAGATGCCTGAGCAGGTGAGTGTTGATGGAAAGAATTTTGTTACCTCATTATCTTTTCTGTTGTACGGTTGATTCAGACTCTGATCTTTTTCCTTCCGAAATTATTTGTGGGAGATTAATCCTTCTTGTTTTTATAGGTTGCGTTTTGGAAGTGGATTACACCCAAGATGTTGGGGCTGGTCACACAAAACTCCGTGTATCATTGGTCTATTGAAGGTTGTATATCATTAGCTTACTCCCATCTTCTTATCATGTATATGTGATTCTGATTTTGTTTCGATATTTCGCAGATGATTCTGAGCCAGTAAAGATGTTTGATAGAACGGCCAACTTGGCAAAAAATCAAATTATTAACTACAAGTGCTCTCCTAATGAGAAGTGGTTGGTTTTAATTGGAATTGCTCCTGGCCCTCCTGAGGTAGGTTTACTGCGCCGTATATTAGTTTTAAATACGACATCAAAGCTGCAGTTGTATTGTAAATTCTTGACTGATCTTATCATTACTGTCGTCTGTAGAGAGCACAACTGGTAAAAGGAAATATGCAGCTTTTTTCTTTGGATCAACAGCGGAGCCAGGCCCTTGAAGCACACGCTGCCTCATTTTCTCAGTTTAAGGTAAACTTGGTTCTTTAGTTCTGTGATCCAATCTCGAACTGTAGTATGACTTCCAACATTATTGATATTAGGTCCCTGGAAACGAAAATCCTTCTATCCTTATATCCTTTGCAAGCAAGAGCTTTAATGCTGGGCAGATAACATCAAAGTTGCACGTCATTGAGCTTGGTGCTCAACCCGGTTAGCATCCTTGGCAGAAACTATATTGTCACCGTTAATTAGTGTCACTGGTTACATTTTTAGTTTGGTGTTGTCTAAACGTGGTTGGTTATTTTACAGGAAAACCATCATTTACAAAAAAGCAAGCGGATCTCTTTTTCCCCCCAGATTTTGCTGATGATTTCCCTGTTGCCATGCAGGTTTGTAGTTGCATTAGAATTTCAACTACATTTAGTATGTTTTGGTGAAAAATTCTCGGCTCACTGAATTTTCTTTTCCCTGGCAGGTCTCTCACAAGTTTAGCTTGATATATGTCATCACCAAGCTTGGCTTGTTGTTTGTGTACGATCTAGAAACTGCTTCTGCTGTCTACAGAAATCGAATAAGTCCAGACCCAATTTTCTTGACTTCTGAAGCCTCTTCAGTTGGGGGTTTCTATGCTATTAATAGGCGAGGACAAGTTCTTTTGGCGACAGTAAACGAGGCTACTATAATACCTTTTATTAGTGGTCAAGTATGTTCTTTCTTTCTCTCTTTCCCGATATAAGCTACCAGTGTCACCATGTCATGCTAAGAAATCTATGCTTTTGTATCATAGTTGAACAAATTGGAGCTTGCTGTCAATCTTGCTAAAAGAGGAAACCTCCCTGGTGCAGAAGAGCTGGTATGTGAAGGTTATCTTGCTGAACAGTGAAGTGATTATAGCTGTGGAATGTCAGATTTAAGAAAAATAAAGTTATTTGGTAATGTAGAGGTTCTCATAATTCAGTTCGGATGTTGCAGGTTGTCGAGCGGTTCAAAGAGCTGTTCGCTCAAACGAAGTACAAAGAGGCTGCTGAGCTTGCTGCTGAATCTCCTCAGGGAATTCTAAGGACACCTGATATAGTGGCCAAATTCCAGGTATATATTCCTTATTCAAGCAACTTATTTTGTGTGAACGTGTTTATCTATTATTTAAGGTCGTTAACACCACTTTGAAACTACAACATCACACGATAAATTTTTGCAGAGTGTTCCGGTACAAGCTGGGCAAACTCCTCCGTTGTTACAGTATTTTGGGACTCTTTTAACTAAAGGAAAGCTCAATTCATATGAGTCACTGGAACTATCTCGACTTGTTGTGAATCAAAACAAGAAGAACCTCCTGGAAAACTGGTTAGCAGAGGATAAGTTAGAATGCAGTGAAGAACTGGGAGACCTTGTCAAGGTAATCTTGAAATGGACTTTTTTTTCTTTTAAGTGTGTGATGTCTCCTTTAGTATTTATTCACATAAATCTCTCTATTCCAGACTGTGGATAGTGACCTTTCTCTGAAAATATACGTCAAAGCCCGGGCAACTCCAAAAGTTATAGCAGCTTTTGCAGAAAGAAAGGAGTTCAACAACATACTGATTTACTCAGAGCAGGTAAATAACAGTATATAAATTATGCCGGCCTGTGCTATGCTTACCCTAAAATTCACTGTTCTCAATAACTATCATTGTTTCATATTGTGAATTTAGGCTAAGTACACACCTGATTACCTGTTTCTTCTGCAAACCATACTCCGTACGGATCCTGAGGTTAGTGTGGTGCACTTTTGATACCTGCAACATATTAAACTCTTAATGGACTGGTTTATTAGATATTTGTGGCGTAAGCCCAAGAAGAGTAATGAATCAGTTAACTTCGTGTTGAATAATTTTGATCAATAATCTTTTACCTGCATTTTGCAGGGAGCAGTAAGTTTTGCATTAATGATGTCTGAAATGAAAGGAGGTTGTCCAGTTGACTTCAACACTATCACTGACCTTTTTCTCCAGGTAGGTGATTAAGTATAAGTTTGTGTATGCACCAATATTCGTTCATTACTTGTTCTGCAACTGTATACGAAGTTTGTTCAGGGCATTAAGCGGATATCATGTGCTAATTTATTTATTTTGCATATCCAGAGAAATCTGATCCGAGAAGCTACTAAATTTCTTTTGGTTGTGCTGAAGCCAAATTTACCTGAGCAAGCATTTCTGCAAACTAAGGTTGAAAATAGTTGCCAATTTGAATGTTTCTATGCTATCTCTATTCACATTTCCTCAGACTTTTTAGATCAAATGTCAAAACAGGTTCTGGAGATCAATTTGGTAACCTTTCCTAATGTGGCTGAGGCGATTTTAGCAAATGGGATGTTCAGCCACTATGACCGGCCTCGTGTTGCTCAACTTTGTGAAAAGGCTGGACTTTATATCCAATCCTTAAAGGTGGCCCTCGTTTTCTTGCTTTTTTTCCCCGACCAAATAGAATTATATTTCGATCTCCAACATTTTTTTCCTTTTGAATTGTGTAGCATTACTCAGAGTTACCTGATATAAAACGTGTAATTGTGAACACACACGCTATTGAGCCACAGGTAATGCTTCGAAACTAAAATTTGATTGCTAAAATTCTGAATGTCACGTTGTTGAAAATCACTTCGTCAAAATGCAGGCGCTTGTTGAGTTTTTTGGTACTCTTTCTAGCGACTGGGCTATGGAGTGCATGAAGGATCTTTTGCTTGTCAACCTTAGAGGCAACCTGCAGATAATTGTTCAGGTAAATGGTGTATGCCTGGTATGATGAATCTCATTGTTTAGTGTCATACTAACGTGTCTGTATGATCGTAGGCTTGCAAGGAGTACTGTGAACAACTTGGTGTTGATGCATGTATTAAGCTCTTTGAACAGTTTAAGTCATACGAAGGCCTTTACTTTTTCCTGGGCTCATATATTAGTATGAGGTGATTTATACAATCTACTAGCCTTCCTCTAAACAAGCGCGATTCTTGTGTTTCTATGTTGACGATGATATTTTTCCCTCTGTACAACAGTGAGGATCCTGATATTCACTTCAAGTACATTGAAGCAGCTGCAAAGACTGGTCAAATAAAGGAGGTTGAGCGTGTGACTAGAGAGTCTAACTTCTATGATGCTGAAAAGACAAAGAACTTTTTGATGGAAGCTAAGCTTCCTGATGCCCGACCTTTGATAAATGTCTGCGACCGTTTCGGCTTTGTGCCTGATCTTACTCACTACCTCTACACAAACAACATGCTTCGTTACATTGAAGGTTACGTTCAGAAGGTATGGAGTTTCTTAATGTTAATGTGTGGAAGTTTGGCATTTTATGCCTAAATAATGATAATGTGATTCATTTTGCAGGTGAATCCTGGGAATGCCCCCTTAGTTGTGGGGCAGTTGCTTGATGACGAATGCCCAGAAGATTTTATAAAAGGCCTCATTATCTCTGTTCGTTCATTGCTTCCTGTTGAACCTCTTGTTGAGGAATGTGAGAAGAGGTGTGAATCTCTTCGGTCATCTTGGTTTCCTTCCATAACCCCCTTAGTTTCTAAAGCTCTAATATGTATTTGTCTACTCTATTCAGAAATCGACTCCGTCTCCTCACTCAATTCTTGGAGCATCTAGTTAGTGAAGGAAGCCAAGATGTGCATGTCCATAATGCCTTGGGTAAAATTATCATAGACAGTAACAACAACCCTGAGCATTTCCTGACCACCAACCCTTACTACGACTCTAAGGTTGTGGGTAAGTACTGTGAGAAACGTGATCCCACCCTGGCTGTTGTGGCATACAGAAGAGGACAATGTGATGAGGAACTCGTCAATGTAACCAACAAAAATTCTTTGTTCAAGCTACAAGCCAGGTATTCAATCATGGCTTGTGAAAACTCTTACGTATTTCTCAGTGGTTACTCTGTAGGTTGCTGACACACGAAATTTCAACTGTAGGTATGTAGTGGAGAGGATGGATGGTGATCTCTGGGGTAAGGTTCTTCTGGAAGAAAATGAATATAGAAGACAACTCATTGACCAAGTTGTGTCTACTGCTTTACCCGAAAGCAAGAGCCCAGAGCAGGTATCCGCTGCTGTTCAAGCATTCATGACCGCTGATTTGCCGCACGAGCTTATTGAGCTTCTTGAAAAGATAGTGCTTCAAAACTCTGCCTTCAGTGGAAACTTCAATCTGCAAAATCTGCTTATAGAAACAGCTATAAAGGCAGACCCATCTAGAGTTATGGATTACATTAATAGGCTGGACAATTTCGATGGACCTGCTGTTGGAGAAGTGGCAGTTGAAGCCCAATTGTATGAGGAAGCATTTGCTATTTTCAAGAAGTTTAACTTAAATGTTCAGGCTGTCAACGTATTGCTGGATAACGTCAAAAGCATTGAGCGTGCTGTTGAGTTTGCTTTCCGGGTCGAAGAAGATTCTGTTTGGGGCGAAGTTGCAAAGGCTCAACTCAGGGAAGGACTAGTCAGTGATGCAATTGAGTCCTTTATCCGTGCTGAAGATGCCACGCATTTCTTGGAGGTCATACGTGCTGCTGAAGATGCTAATGTCTATGATGACTTGGTCAAATACCTTCTGATGGTTAGACAGAAGGTGAAGGAGCCAAAGGTTGACAGTGAGCTCATCTATGCATATGCAAAGATTGATAGGTTAGGTGAGATTGAAGAATTCATTCTGATGCCAAACGTTGCTAACCTACCAAATGTTGGTGATCGCCTGTATGACGAAGCCCTGTATGAGGCTGCAAAAATAATCTATGCGTTCATATCAAACTGGGGCAAGTTAGCTGTCACGCTTGTGAAGTTGCAACAGTTCCAAGGTGCTGTCGACGCTGCAAGGAAAGCAAACAGTGCAAAGACATGGAAGGAAGTCTGCTTTGCTTGTCTTGATGCAGAGGAATTCCGGTTGGCTCAGATCTGTGGCCTTAACGTTATCATTCAGGTGAATAGGAACCTAATTTTAGTTTCATGAATTGTTGGCACAAAACTTACCTGTTTTTGATATTACCCCCAATGTATCTCATATATATCCTGGGCCGTGGATAACATTTGGTGCTTGATAGGTGGATGACCTGGAAGAAGTCAGCGAGTTCTACCAGAACAGAGGGTACTTCAATGAATTAATCTCACTTATGGAGAGTGGACTTGGGCTGGAGCGTGCTCACATGGGTATCTTCACTGAGTTGGGTGTACTCTATGCTAGATATCGCTATGAGAAACTTATGGAACACATTAAGTTATTCGCCACTCGCCTCAATATCCCCAAGCTTATACGGGCCTGTGATGAACAACAGCACTGGCAGGAACTTACTTATCTCTTCATACAATATGATGAGTTTGATAATGCTGCGACCACTGTGATGAACCACTCTCCTGAAGCATGGGAGCACATGCAATTCAAAGACATTGTTGCCAAGGTTGCAAATGTCGAGCTGTACTACAAGGCTGTGCATTTCTACTTACAGGAGCATCCTGATTTAATCAACGATCTTCTCAACGTGCTTGCGTTGCGGTTAGATCACACTCGTGTTGTTGATATTATGCGGAAGGTTAGAAACTGACCAAATATTTTTATCCCATAAAAACATCCGAGCTGTTTTACTGAACACCTGCTTTCTTCTGATGTCAGGCTGGCCAGTTGCTTCTTATCAAGCCGTACATGGTTGCAGTTCAGAGTAACAATGTCTCTGCTGTTAATGAAGCTCTGAATGAGATATACGTGGAAGAAGAAGACTATGATAGGTTGCGCGAGTCTATTGATTTACATGACAGTTTTGACCAGATAGGTCTCGCTCAGAAGGTAAACTTTAAATCTACTACAGCTTTTATATCACTTTTATATATATACTTTAGGGAGGGGGGAAATGATATAAACTTTTGCGAACAGATCGAGAAACACGAGCTTGTTGAAATGAGACGTGTGGCTGCTTATATCTACAAGAAAGCGGGTAGATGGAAGCAATCAATTGCTTTGTCAAAGAAAGATAACATGTACAAAGACTGTATGGAAACTGCTTCACAATCCGGCGAACATGACCTTGCAGAACAACTGTTGGTTTACTTCATTGAACAGGTATGGGTAGTCTGAAGCAATGATTACACTGAAGGCTATTTATTTTATTTGCTTGCTAAAACCGAAAAAGCTGTTGGTGGTGAAGATGAAATTAACATCACTCGTATTATGCTGTGCTCTTATGATACAGGGCAAAAAGGAATGCTTTGCGACATGTCTCTTTGTATGTTATGATTTAATCCGACCAGATGTTGCTCTAGAACTTGCCTGGATCCACAACATGATCGACTTTGCCTTCCCGTATCTCCTCCAGGTCCCAAATACTCTCTATATCTTCTTATTGGTGAGAGATAAGAGCCAAATGATGAACTCTCTCATCTCCTCTATCGTGTTTTTGCAGTTTATTCGAGAGTACTCGGGCAAAGTGGATGAGCTAATCAAGGACAAGCTGGAGGCACAAAAAGAGGTGCAGGCCAAAGAGCAGGAAGATAAGGATGTCATGTCCCAACAGGTAACTTGCACAGAGCTACAGTCAGATATCATGGCGAATCTTGTTTCTGTTAGCAAAATAAACTAAAAAGCGGTGTTTTGGTTTCTTCTTTGTTTTTGAAATCAGAACATGTACGCCCAATTATTGCCACTTGCTTTACCGGCACCACCGATGCCAGGAATGGGAGGTGGTGGTGGGTATGGTCCGCCACAACCAATGGGAGGAATGCCGGGAATGCCACCATATGGAATGCCACCAATGGGTGGCTACTAACTGGAAAGTTAACAGAAACCCATAGGCCGTGTTCGCTTACTTCATGTCTCTATTGCTAGAATTTGACTGGGTTAGTGAAAGGTGTAGTGTAACTGCAAATAGTGTTCTCCTTGTAGTTTATATAAGCTGTATGGATAGGATACTGTCGTTGTAATAGTCTTCGAGAATTAGTTGGAGTCTTTTTTTTTTTTCTTTATGTTGGAAGCCATTTTTCTTTCGAGGATATTTAGACTCATTTAGACATCTTAGAGCATATGCATCGCGTAGCTCTAAAAATAAAACGCTTAAAATTTTTTTTATTTTTTTTTTTTTCGGTTTTCCAGATTTAAAAAAAAAAAAAAAAAAAAAA